GGAGGTTAGGGCAACTCGGCCAAGGTGTCGACAGAGCCCGGCCATTAACCCTTGGAAAAGCCAGAGCTCAAAAGAGGAAGGATCGCCTCAAAAATTGAATATTAATCTCGTAAGAGAATGCGTACGTTCTACCCCCTCCGTCCCTAAATGTTGTTCCAATTGCGGATTACGAAGGTTGAATGACGATAAAGTTAAATGATCCCTGTGAAAACTCGGATTATTTTTAGTAAATAAAATTTACATATTCAGAAACTACATTAAACCCGCTATAAAGCCTGCAAAAAATAATTCAACTTTTATAAAATTTTGATATAAAAAGTAAGAGTTTAAAAGTGATTTAAGTTGACTCTTGATAAGCGAAATGGAACTTCTTTTAGGGACAGAGGGAGTAGTTAATTGATATTTGTTCAAGTTATTTGTTGGTTAAATCCGACCCAGTGGCTCATTTTCAATTTTTCAGTAGGTGGTCACACTCGCTCAGACTTGTTCTGTTTTCCCTTTTCCCGTGGATGGTAAAACCTGTTAAGACTTGGGGTTCCATCCTAAAAGATGGAAATGATAGGAGGAGTAGCTCATAGCCTTATAAACGGGCCAAACAAACTCTTAACAAGCTACTTTTAATGCTGGGTACTAAATAAGCAGTCAAACCACATCCGGAATTGGCTCTAATATCATGTTAAGACTCGGGGTTCCATCCTAAAAGGTCAACCTTATAGGAGGAGTAGTTTAAAGCCTGGTATAGTGTTTAATTGTTTTATAATTTTCCAATGTGGAACAAATGTTTTTAACAAAACCACATGTCTTCATTATCTGTGCAGAAATATCGAATCCGAATGTTCTATCTGTGTGTATGTTTTATACGAAGTATTTCAAACCATTATCGTACTGTATTATTAATTATTAATTAATATTTCCACGGATTAAGTTTGCTCTCCTGCAGAGTAAATAAAGAATAAGAAAGTCATAAGACAAAGTGGTGAAACTCGCTAGGACCATTGACATACAAGTATATGAAAAGTCATTAAAAAAAACTCTGTTTTTTTCTTCAGCTTTCATTGTGCTAAATATTTCGCTATCAGTTCCTGCAATTAAATATTTTACTATGAATGCTAAGTACGAAGTATAGATTTTCTTATGTGCAAGGAGGAATGGATACTATAGTGAATTGTAGGCTAAAATAGAGAATTATTCAGACTTTACTATGCACCCAACATACAGAGCCCGTTTGGAGAACTCTGTTTTCGGCTTATCAGGCTTATCAGCCAGCTTTTTCACCAAACACGTAATTTTTGTTAAATAAAAAGTAACAACTGTAGACTCCGAAGTCCTATTTGTCTAAGTTTTGGCCCTATTTGAAGTGACGCCTTACTGAAAATTGTACTGAATAGTGTGATTTGTTAAAGTCAAAACCGATACAGAATGGTCTCTTTGAATCTGATATGATCCCAAACAATTTAATCTAGTATTTACATTTTTTATTATTATCCAAGTCTTGTGAAATATATTAATATATCTATTATAAATTAATAAAGATGACCCTTTAATGAACTTAACCGGAAAAGGCTTGTGATTTTCTCTTCTAGATGTTGCGTAAAAAATGTGCGCTCACATGTGATGACGACGAGGATCGGGGTGGGAATCAGTGATGAAATACTACGAATCGTCGTATCGAAGGTGCGCGAGTAGGGTTTCTGATGGGGCAGGCACATACGTAGCTAGGGTCACAGTTCAGAGTTTCGGTTGGTCAGGCAGTCATTGGGTGGCACCGGGGTGAGGCAGGGTGGGGCTATGGGCTAGGTGGCCAAGTGGGGCCGGGGAAGGGGTGGGGTGACTTAGTGGCGGACCCAGGAAACTTACCTTGGGGGGGCGTGAACTCAGTGGCGTCATATTCAGAAAAATTTATGCGTGGTGGTCAACTTACACTAGAACTTAGTCACATATATCACAAATAGCAAATACATTACTCCGTATTAATATTGTTTGATTACACTTAGTTTAACTTATAAATATACAATTATGTATAAAAAGATCCATTTATGTTACATGTGTGCAAAGATATAATTATAGATAAAATTACCTAAATAGAAGTTGAACATAAAAAAATTATTGAAATTTTTATCCTTTTATTTTGTTAATAGGATTACATAAATCCTATGTTTAGGTAAGAAAACACTCTTAATCATATTTTAGAATTTTTTTCTATGTTTAACTCGAATTAAAAAATCACCATAGAATCAAGAGTGACTTGAAATGGCAACTTGAAGGGAAGAGTTCCTTCAAAGACCAAGGATATTATCGAGGAGTAGTTCCTTCAATTTTTTTTTATTTTTTTTTGAGGAGTAGTTTGTCACGAGTTTCCCACACTCGGCAGATTACGCCGCACGTGAGCTTGTTAAGGGAACAAGTCCGTGACAAGTTGCTCCAATATGATGAATTCATAATTGATGCTCGTACTTTATTCCGGATAGACAAAGAATCATGTTGAGTCAAATGTAACCTAGGATTTGCTGGGTGCATCTTTTGTACTCGGAAATTTTTATGTGACATGAAATTATGAGAAACAAGACCACAAATAATCATTTTTGTAATTTCTTATCATTACTAATTGGGTTTTTGTGTTGAATATTACTAATAAAAGGGCAATAGGCAAAAAAGTGACCTTTTTTAAAAATTTCTGAAATGTGACTAATAAGTGATAAGCTTGCTTATACATACACACTGCTACAGTGACATGCTACAGTGACACGAGACACAGTGACATCCACCCTCCTTGGCACCACCTCCCACCGGTGACCATCGCCACCGCCGGAGACCGTCGCCGGCCATAGTGACAACGACCATAGTGACGCTGTCACTGCCTAGTGACACTAATTTTTCAGTGACGCCACCCACCAAAAGTTACTCCGGCCGCTACCACCGCCCTGTCACTATGATCAACGGAAAATTTTTCGGCTCCTTGTCTGGCGCCACACCGCCAACAACAACTACTACAACAGTCCCGCAGTCCAGCCCAAGCCGCCAAACTCTTCGTTCACCAACCCCCAGCCTCCAACCTCAAAACCTCCGACCACCGCCGCCCCCAATGACCCACCAATGCTTTGACCTGCCCTCAACCCTAGCCCCAACCCTTTCCCCTGCCCCAATCCCCTCCCCTGCCCCACCCCAGCTCACTCCCCCATGCTTTGAGCTTCCCCTAGCCCTAACCCCCTCCCCCTACCCCAATCCCCTCCCCTGCCCTCCCCAGCTCACTCCCCCAGCTCCGGTTCCGAACAGCCCAACATCAACACGCCCCTTCCCAGCCCCACCTTCAATAGCCCAGCCTAGCACATCCCTGACGAGCCTCCACCTCAGCCTAGCCGTCACCCACCCTAGATCTGGTTTGCTCGCTTTCTGGTTGCCACAGATCTGGTAATCCGTAATTCATCCATCCATCCGAGGCGAGGCAAGGCGGAGGCGGCCTGTGAAACGAAGCTGTACGGCGAGGCTACGATGAAATGAGGCAACCCGTGCAGTGAGGCAAGGCGGTTTGTACGGCGAGTGTAAGGTGCGGCGACTGGCGAGGCTGAGGTGAGGAGCCGAGGTAGAGACGAGGCCGGAGGTTTGGCACAACAAGGAAGATGCGCATAGAAGAGGCGGGCGATTTTGCGTAGAGAAGAGGCGGAGGATTTTGCGGGGAGATGAAATGGGCAGAGAAGAGGCGAAGAGAAGATGATGAGCTGGGAAGAAGTGCCCAGGAAAGAAACGGGAGAAGAAAGACGGATCCGGTTACTTTTATGTCTAGCCATGTAATTCTCATATTTTTGTCCATCATAACTCCCCTAATTATATTGGTGCCATTCTTTCTTACTTATTTCATTGACATTGACTGCCAATTTTCCTAAATCTAACACACCTGTACTTTCCTAAATGAGTAAATATACTTCTTAATTAGCTAATTTTTATGAGAAGATTGCTGTAAATAAGATTAAAGCATAGTCATATTCCCTAACTAGGAATACATGTTTTATTTTGTTTAAATATGACAAAACATTACATTTTTACCCTTAATATATAATCAATTGCGTACTAGTTCCCCAGTATAACTAGGGCAATCAAGTGGTGGCAATAGTCCGACAGAGATAGCAGGAACAACAGTTTGGAAACAGTCCGGCGGCGGCAAACGACGGAGGGATTCCCGTCGTCCAGTGGTTGATTTTCGACTACAAGTGGCAGCGGTCCATCAGTGGCAGCACTCGAACCCCTATAAGGGCATCCTCATCCATAGATTATTTTTGGAATCATTTTGATGATGTTGAGGATTTTTTTGGGATCATGAATGAGGAGTTGAGATTATTTTATGAGATTATTTGATAAAATAATCTGGTATCGAATTCTAAAGTTGGATTATTTTGAGATTATTCACAAAGTTTTAGACTCTTTCTCCCAAATCTAGGAACACAATTACGGTACTACTTTTGTAATGGGCAAGGCTATTACACAATTACTGGGAACGTTTCTTGCAATCATTGGGAATTGCAAATTGCATTTTAAATTTGAAATACAATTTACTCATAAAAATCTGAGCAAATAAAAATCATGGTTGAAAAGAAGTTGATAAATTTGAAGATTATTTGAGATTTTTCTATGTGGCAATGAAATGGCAATAACTAATCATAAAAAACCTTAAATTTGAGGATTGTGGATGGAGATGCGGATATTTTTATGCAATCACAAATAATAAATCTGGATTTTTAAACATTAATACATGTATTTAAAATTCAACCATGTTTTCATCCTATTTGGGGAGTTCTCCCGATCTTTACATGCATCTAGTGAATTATGACCAATTATGACAAGACACACAAGTAGTCCGAAAAAACAAAAATTGAGATTACCATCCACATATTGTTGGTTCATAAAGAATCAAGAATAATGAGGGATGGCCCAAATAACTAACGCCCTAACAAATGTATTATTCATAAAGTTGTACGCTTCACCATTCACCAAGCAATGTAACACAACAAACTCTCTAGCCAGCTCTCCTTTTTTTGACAGGCTCAAAGTATCCTACATTTTCCATTTGACCCCCTCCCCCAGAAATGATCATTAACTTCCCTATCTAATGGAAAAGAAAAATATTAGGGACTCATGAAGGATATTAATGGCATTTTGCATTATATCATAAATGAGAGGAGTGTATGAGAAGGAAGGGGAAGTCATAGATTTTATGTGCAAAAAGTGTATATAAATACTAGGGAACCTGAATGCATGGAGATGAATAAAGTGAGAGTTCTTTTTAGGGTATAGATGCCAGATGCGGTTTGATAATAGCATTTGGCAAAACCTAATGAAGAAAGAAAGAAAAAAGAACAATGTCTGGTTAAATCATTTGTCCTGCTCTTTTTTATGTTTCTTGTGTTTAACTTCAAGCCTTTCCTCTTCTTCTGATATATATTAACCATCATGTGAACTTTATATTGCAACAAAATCAAGCACAGAAAAATGGAGATTTCATTGAGAGCGGGATGCATGGCAGTTTTTGCAGTGTCGGGAAGCGTTGTTCTTCTTTCCCTCAAAGCCCACAAGCACCTCATGTCTGATTTCATGAACAAGATTGAATTTGAATTTGGTAACTCATGGATTCACTTGTCTTAGTTGGATACAATTGCTTTATATTTAGAATAAAGGCATATGGTAGAGTTGTAATCTTGTAGACATGGTTTTGGTCTGGTTCCAGAACGAAATGGTCGATTTCTTCCCTCCATTTGATAGAGCCAAACTGACACCTTAAATAGCACCATCCTATTCCAGAACCGTCAATTCAGTTCCTCATTTGATATAACTAGACCGGAACCTTAAATTACATGTTTTCAGTTTCGGGCCCGATTAAATCATGACATATGCTATATCTTTTAGATTAACCCGATTCGGGTCTTGGAATCGATGACAATCAATTTGATAGAACCTAACTAGAACCTTATAAATTATGGTTCCCAATATCAATTTGAGTCGCATTCCAAGTCACTCGGATAACGAACTTTAATACCCTAGTTATGATATACTCCATGTCTCCATCCATCCCCTAAAACTTTATCATCTTTGAAATTTTTGGTCAATCATGTTCAACTTTAACCAATTATATACGTAGATTTTTATAGAAAATTATTTATAATATAAAAATGTTATGAAAATGTTCTTTTTTAAAAGTAATTTCATAAAAGTATAAAATTTTTAACTTCCATAATATTATACTAATGAAAATCATGGTTCAAACATTCTCGTCATTGACTTGTAAAGTCAAAGATGACAGGGTTTAAAGGACGTATAGCTTTATCTTAAAAGTCAAAACTTATTGATATAAGAGAGTGAGAAGAGATGATTTTATTGATTGTAGAATGGTTACATATATATAGTTTATGAATAGCTAATTAAGGTAACTAAATATTTAGTATAGTTACAAATGATATCTTGAATATAATCTGCAGAATATTTGGTAATAAGAACAGATTGCTTCCCTTCTATAAATCTACAGAATTAATAGTTATAAGGAAAGATTTACTTTCCTTCTACAATTAATACGTTAATGAATATATTATGTTTATTCATAGTGAGATTTATTTATTTGCAAACTGAGATGACTCACTGTTGATACATAGTAGGGATAGTGAAAGGTGAAAATGAGAAAAAGGTGAGGTTTTTAGAGGAAGCGGAGGTATTGCCGTCGATTGGCCATGATGACCATTACCCGGAGAAGGAGAAGAAGAAGCAAGCATCACCGTCAACCAATCTGAGGAGAGGGGTGGTCGATGATGAGAAGAGGTTCAAGTCAATGCCTGAAAATTGGCAAGCCCTTTACAGAGGGATTATTCAATTTAGGTCTCTCAAACGGCACAATGTGTGACTTCTGAAATTCTGATTTACATGCTCATGTAAATAAAGTTGCTGTTGTAGTACTTTCTTTGATACTACTGTATAATCTAGTTGCAGAATATGCCAATGTGGGTTCAACATGCCAATTTTGTATATTACTAGTTGATAGGTTTCATTGTGAAATTGAACTGTATATATATATATCTACAATATTATAAGAGGGAATATTGTTAGGGGTGTAATGGTGATAAAAAAAAATGTTGGTGTCTCTTAATGCATTAAGCCCTTATACCTTATGTTTACTTTCTTGTACATCTAACCTTATATTAACTTTCCGTTTTAACGGAACCTGTTAAAACAGCCCATCTTCTAATGTCCGTCGTCTTGTTTGTTGGAGAAATTCTAATGTCCTTTTACATTTAATTCAAGTTGTTGTAAAAGTTTTCCTTTCACCTCCTATTCCAGCACCACGCCGTCACTCCACAGTAGACCATTTATTCACACCGGCAAATTAAAGGAGGAGCTGCTGGAGGCCTGGAGCACTTGCGGAGTTGCGGCCGGGTCTTCACTGCTTGCACACTGTACGTTCTCCGGGCTACTATGCGAATACGCGATTGGGTGATTGGGTGAAGGAACCGCTGCACTCCCATGTTTCCTCCGGATTTGGTCAAGGAGGAAGACAGTACGTCTATTCCTATTTTATTTACTAGGAGACCATTTGGTAACACCGAAATCGGCTGAATCAGTTGTTTCTGTTGATATTATTGAAGTTCTGGCTGAAGTGACTGTATTGGTTGATTATGTTGATTTATGAAAAATTATATATACGGAGTAAAACATATTTTATTAATAAAATAAAGAAAAAATTATATTAAAAAATAGTTAAAATGATCATCTACAGTAACTTCAGCCAATACAGTTAGAAAAGTGATACAACCTTACTTTTCTTATTATGACACAATTCAGTGCGCAAAATCAAAAGTTATGTGTTTGGTAAAAAAGTTGACTGATAAGCCGAAAAACTGACTCACCAAATGAGCTCTAGATGTGCTAGGCCTTTAAACTTGGGCCATATGAGCTAAATGAATAAAAAGGTTAAAATGATAATATTTGGGCTGGATTCATAATAATAATAATACATAATAATAATAATAATAATAATAATAATAATAATAATAATAATAATAATAATAATAATAATAATAACAACAACAACAACAAAAACAACAATAATAATAATAATAATAATATAATTACAAGTCAAACGAAAATGAAATGGATGATGTAAATAATGGACTATTATGAATGGACTAATTACTATTGAAATGCATGAGTATAAAATTGACTAATGAGAATTATGGGATTTAGATTATAAACGGATAATTAAACTAATTTTAACTTTAACTCGCATCATGTTTGTCCAGGAGGCGATGATGGCCGATCAATAAGCAGAGATTTTCAAGGGCACTTGCAACTAACAAAAGTTGTATGTGGTTATGAGTCTCTTTGATTTTGCCTCATGTGCCTCAATCCTTGTTCGCCATGGTGGATGTAATGATAGAATTGTGATGCTAAAACAACAATCCAGGTCCGCCAAGGCAAATGATCAAAGTTTAATTGAAGTAATGTGATTTTATATCTCGTGTCATTGTTCTCGTAATTTAATTTCAATTCGGGTGCACGACATTGTATAAATTTTGGGGAAAATGAAAACTAATAATCCAACCTTTTAGCGGTCTTCATACAATAGTCTCACCTTTTGATTATTCATGAATAATCCAACTTTTGCACCTCATCTTCATTCATTGGTCCCTGACCGGTTGATGACCTGCTATTCCAAATTATTTTCTTATCTTTGCAAAATATTATCTTTGTGAAAGGTGAGATTTATGGTATAATGGTTTGCAAAGATAAGCAAATAACTTGGAATAATAGGTCATCAACCGGTCAGGGACCAGTGAATGAAGATGAGGTGCAAAAGTTGGATTATTCATGAATAATCAAAAGGTGGGACTATTGTAAGAAGACCGCTAAAAGGTTGGATTATTAGTTTCCATTTCTCTAAATTTTGGGGGTTTTCCTATTATATACTAAAACAGAGTTCGTGGGCAAACATATGACTTCATGGTCTAACAAACTATGTATACAAATAGTTTACCCATAATACTCACATATTCACTCAACCTAACTTCATCAATTAATATGCCTAAAATGGTCTTGGGCATTTACACGAACGCGCATCGCGCGTTGCTAAACTAGTAACTAATATAAGTCTCTTGACTCTTCATTTATGCACGGCCAGTCATGCTTATATTTATTTTTGGAGTAAAGGGTCAGTTTGGTCCTCGAAGTTGCAAAAAGGGGGTCAAATAAGTCCTTATATAGAAGATTCTGTCCGGATGTGCCATTTGAGGTGGCTCCCGGTGGAATTTTTTGATGAAATTTTTTGAGCATCTTATTCATTAAGTCTAGTTTACTCATACCAAATTTCAGATAAAAATTCAATCGGGAAGACATTCAAATAAATTCTTGAAGATAACTGCGCTAATAACGGCACTGTTATCTTCAAGAATTTATTTGAATGTCTTCCCGATTGAATTTTTATCTGAAATTTGGTATGAGTAAACTAGACTTAATGAATAAGATGCTCAAAACATTTCATCAAAAAATTCCACCGGGAGCCACCTCAAATGGCACGTCCGGACAGAATCTTCTATAAAAGGACTTATTTGACCCCTTTTTTGCAACTTCGAGGACCAAACTGACCCTTATCCCTTTATTTTTGGTACATTCCTTATGAGAAACAGGGTATTCGCTTAATTTTAAAAAAAAAAATACTCCACAGTTGAATTCTAAAAAAATTGATCGGGTAAGGTATTTTATGATAAGAGATGTACTCATGTATTAAATTCTAAAAAAAATTATCGTCAAGCCACCTTCTCAGGCAGAAATTTACAATTTATGATAAGAGATGTACTCATGTATTGGGATACTTTTAAATTTTATTTGTACTTACATTATCTCAAAAGAAAGAAAACACATAACACATAGAAACAAGAGTATAATGTGACTATTATCTTAATCACCTCGAGGGTGGGCAGAATAGTAGAGAATTTGAAGTGATTATGAGGGTGATCTTAGAAGATGAAGCAGTTTGAAGTTGAACTGTGATCCTTCGCTGCTGCTCCGTGCAGCCATGTCTGGTGCACATACATGCATTTGGAACCTTGTGCATCATTCAGATCCTGAGAGAGAGAGAGAACATATACGCTTTTAAATAATGCAGAATTACATGAAACACAATCTTGTGTTAGGATCTGCTACCAAATGCTAGAGGCAATCTACCTTTGAGCATAGCAGAATTGTGGTCAAGCGACATTGCCTTTCTTCACCTAAACAAGAGCGATCCCTTTGTTACTATAGTATACAAGAAGAATAGTAGCATTGGATTTAAAAGCATCACCACCACAGCAATCCCAGATATGGTAGGCTTTGTGGTATGAAGCTTATGATGTTAAAAGTTAAAGCGCTCTCATAAGTCATTAATCTCATGTAGTCTACATGTACTAAATTTGTTCGTTAGTTTAACTTAACTTAAAATAGTTAACTTGTACATACATTCTCTTTTGGAAAATTATATGAAAAATTAGCTACTGTCGATCAAACATGACTCCATTTGTGAGGCAAATAAAATTTTTTAACTAATATTCTGTATGATTGCAGTAAAGTAGCTTGGTGTGGGCCATGTTTTCCGGGGAAAATGTGTGCCTGCCTGCCTGCCTGGATAATAAGTAGTTCTAGTGTAATGTTTGATCGACTACAATAGAAAACATAAAACTGTTCCAACAAAATAACTTTGCGCTTTCAAGAAGGGAATTCATTTTCCACAAAAGTTCAAAGGACCGCGTTAAATATTTCCGTGTTTTAGCAAGATACAGGAAAATTAATTTCTTGTACAAAACAGGGAATATCCGGTAGACATTTACTTCGAAAATGATTTCCTCGAAACAAACGGAGACTTAGACACTTTTTGGAGATGGATGGAATGAAAGCAAGAATTCTCAGAAGTCTATGTGGGCACAACTCAATGTGCCCACACCACCAAATGTGAAAACAAAGTCATGTAATCCATGTGAGTCCTTTGTGAACTTAATATGAGCGACATGACTTCATTTCCAAGTTTGATAGTTCAGAGACATTAAAGTGTGCCAGCAAATGCTCCTTAGAAGGTCTTGGAGTACTTGTCTAAAATTAAATTCTATAAACTCAGGGCAAACTTATTTGAACATTAATATGTTTTTTCGTTAATGTCTTGGCCTAATTTAATATGTTAACTTGTTTTTTATTTAATTTTTTGGGCCTAACTTAGTATGTATTTTAAGTTAGTTTTGAAAAAGGCCTAAGAATTAGAGATGCATAATAATAAAAAATTATAACTTGTCTAGAAATTGATGGTTCTAGAATTTTCTTATCTTTAATGAGACTATGAGAGGTCTGGGAATGGGGCAAGAAATAAAGCAGACACAGGAAGCAATGAACATTGTTCAATGACAAAACCTAAGATGATAGATTGTGAATGCAGTAAAAGGGACAGTGGTGTATAGTGAAGGAAACGGTGGTGTGCAGTGAAGGCAGTGTATGTCAAACAGTGGCAAGAAGCAATGAACTGTGATAGGAGAAGGGTCTGAAGGACGTGGAGGTGTGAACGAAAAGTTGATTACAGCGGCAACAAAGGAGGCATTGTTGTGTACTTTGGCACTGGATGCACCGGACAGTGCAGACAGTTACGGTGTGCAGTGAATGAAGGGGTGAAGCAGTGGAGTTGTGAAAGCTCCAAGGGAGAAAGTTGGTCGCCTGGTCGGTGGTGGTGGACATTGAAAACTACATTTGTTATATGAAAAAAGAAATCCACCATCAAATTAGCAATCAAATCTTCCTATCTCATTTATTAAAATATTTTCATTTTTGGTTTCTAACCCCTAAAACTAAAATGAGGGTATTTTGGTCTTCTTCATATAATTAACTACAAACTGATATGGTCATAGACTGAGAAAGCATGCATCTTATAATCACATATAAGTAGAAACCCAAGGTTACCCAAAGTTCTTTATCTTCTGTTGAATCCTCAATAGGGGAAAGTGAAAGGTAGAATGCAATCTCATGCTTAAGGCAAAGAAAACTTACCAGAGATCTCCCACCTCTTGAACCTCACTAACCATGAATCTGAACCAACCTGCATAGGTATAACTTGATCCACCCAAATGCGGAAATGTTTCCCTCGTTTGTCCCCATAAGATGCCCTTAACGAATCTATACAGTCCTCAAGAGATTTCTCAACACCTGATGGGTGGACAAAAATGCCAGATGAACGCTGCAAAACTTAAAGGCTAGAAGGTAAGCTTTGACATAATAGGAAAAGTGGAAATAGGAATGAAAAATGTAAATTAATAACATACACAAAAATCTTTTATCGTTGCCAAATTAGCCTCTGAGTTCTCAGTTTCCCCACGCCTCCATTTCTCCATAAACAAAAACAGTTCCACAATTTCATAAGCTGGGCTGGATATCTCATTAGAATCTGTCACACCCGTAACATCTCTAGGAGACTTATTAGGGCCCAAGTTGAAATGGCCAATGGCTTGTATGATACCTGCTGCACACCTCTCAGTTGCATGGAGTATTTTTGGATTACCTTTGGCATTTGCAGCATGCCATTGCAGCAACTCCTCCTGGGCATTAGCAACCTGCCAATAAAAAACATGATATCTATGTGACTGTTTGATACATGGTAAATGACAGGGAAAGATAATACAGATGAAATGGAAAGGAAATATGGAAGGAAAGATAATGTGGGAGGGATAAAGAATTGCTTCAAGCTCAATGTATCAATTTTACATATCTGTTCAAAAATTCAAATTCATTATACTTAAATATTTATATCATAGAAAGACTAAGATATCAAATTACATAAAAATAATTCAAATGTTCTTATCAAATTTGATTTTCCAAGATCAAGCCAGACATGCAAAAACTAATTCCTTATGGCATGTTGGGATAGAGGGTTTGGAGTGTAAGCATGTGTCCTGATAAATAAAAGAGCTTATATCAATCTATCACCAAATCAGATGTGCCATAAGATGTTTTTAATTGAGCTTATGTCAATCTTTCATCAAATCAAAGCACACCAGACATAGACAATAGTAAAATACACATATCATAGACCTTTATCAAACCATACTTATTCACTTTAAAAGATCACACCAGACCATAAAATTTCAATACAAGTGAAAACATCCTTAAAAGGAATAAACGCCTAAAAGGTGATTGAGAAGTTATAATATCACATATCATGTTGACCTTTCAATTTTTAAGAAATTGCAAATATATTTCAAGGTATAGAATGAGCCCTTCAAAGCCTTTCCGCCAAAACTCCTCCAAACCCTGTCACCCAAACAGATCCTTAATATTTTTCCACAACCACCTTCTGAGTCCAGGCATAGCCTAAAATCGAATTAAACTTAAAAGAGTTGTCCTAACATCATGATTACAAACAAAACCACATAGTAATATATGAAGAGAAATGTTTACCATCACTCCATACACATCTGGAATACTAAACAGTTCAGCATCATTTCCAGAATCACCACAGGCAAGAGTGTTTTTGGGGAGTTGATCCTCACTTTTCAGTTTCTTAAGCAAATATGCCATAGCCTGACCTTTGCCAGCACCTTGTGGCAAAATATCCAAGTCCATCCCTCCACTATAAATTATCTTCACATCCAACTGAGGATCATAAAACAGTGGAATATGTCAAAGCAGTTTCAAATTATGACGTCAATGGCATGTAAAAATTTTGCATTTGAAGCAGCATGAAAGAATATACATCAAGGATTCATTTGGAACTCCGAAAATGCTATGAAAAAAATATACTGGAAATTCGGAAGAAAACAAAATATGAGGGGGGGATTCAAACTCAACATATCAATTTTGATATTTGTTCAAACTCATTTTATTCAAATATTTCTTTGATTTAAAAATCAAAAGGTCTAAATATATTTAAAACATTGAAAAGTTCTAATCTCATTTTCCTGTAACATTTTCCAAGGCAAACCTACACATCAAAGAACCATTTTCCATATCATTTTCGTATTTTCCAAACATGGCCTTATTGCAATTGTGATAAAAAACAAAAACAACTGTTCAACTATGAAAGAAGTAGTGAAGTAAGTATTTTTCATACCCCACGCTCAGCTAAACGCGTGGAAAGAGCTCTTGTGATTTCTTGAGCCTTATCCTTCTGAACGTAAAAGCTAACCTTGTGCGGACGTTGCTCTGTTTCTGACTGGAAGGAATGAAAAACTTAGTTACTTTTTATATATGAAGTAAATAAAAATGGTAGAAATGAAATGAAATACATCAACATATTAGTGTACCTGGAGTTTCAATTCAGAAAACTTGCTCGTCTCCTCAGTTATTATGCTTCTGTCCCATTTGTGGTTCAAACATTCTTCCCAACCATTGTCTGGCACCATTGAGTTGCCATACGTTATTTCAGTTCCCACAGACAAAATGGTGATATCTGGAGTAAGCATCGGCTTTTCTTTCCTCAACTCTTTGTAAAGTGTAGGCGACCTCCCAGTTGAAAACACGAGCAAAGAGTTATTGCGATAATTGGCTTCCCATAAGGCATTAAACCTAAGCAGAGAAAGGTTCTCAGGATCATGATGATCAACCTGCAAAACATAACCCAATCATGTAAGAGAGGAACCCCAGAGCTGAGAAAAGGAAAGGAACAAAAACAGGGACCCACCATTGTGTGATCAAGATCAGAGACAATCATGAGATGAGCAGCACCTGTTAGGCGATCCATGGCCACCCTAGTGCTATTTTCTCTCTGCCAGGAAGGTTTATAAAGAAATGAAAAAACAGTTTCTTAAGATATTACTCCATTTAATGAGCTAATGTGCAGTGTCCCCTGATTAGAGATACTTACCCCTTATCGGAAGACAGTGAAGCAAATGGGAACCTTTGAAAAAGCTAACAACTCGTGAAACCCCTAAAGTATTACGGAGTACTTCTGTATCAGGAATTACAAAACTTATAGGCAGAAAAACAAAGATATATACGAAATTGATCCGACTGATAGAGTTCATGCACGGCAAATCATATCCCTACCCGTACCCAGATATAGACTTCAAACGAATCCCAATTAAAAAAAAAAATCAATCGATGAAAATAAGAAAAATCACAATCCATAACAACGAGAGAGCGGTTTACCTGGGTAGAGAGTGACTTGGACTGATGGTGATGCTGTGTGCAGCGAAACTAGAAAGGTAGCAGAATATAATAGAGAGAGAAGACGGTGGTGGCGCTACGTGGATTCGGTTTCAGACTGGCGCTTCTTTTGTATCCCCGTCACCAAATTACGGTGCTTTTTGTGATTGATTATTGTTCTCAGACTTTATCACTTGTCATTTGTCACTTGTTTTTAATGAAAACTAGATTTTTACCCGCGCATCGCGCGGTCTATATTATCGAATAGTTATATAATCTTATTTATTAACGTTATTAGTGTATGTGCAGATGATATTTTTTATACTCATGTAATATATATGAACAATATACAATAATTATAGAGAAAACCATGGTTATCAGTAATAATGGGTACGATTTATATATTAGGATAAAAGGGAAAAACTAAACGCACAATAAATTTCGAAACACTTCTTTGTAAACATTTGAAGCATACAATGAGATCTACAAAGACTAAACATTTCGAAAGACTTCTTTGTAAATAATATTTGTAGTACGGTCAGTGCTTTTCCCATCTTCACCACAAATCAATATCTTCAAACTTTTACGGTTTGTCACTCTAGATACCGTCACATGCAATTGATCTTGCGTAAAGACAGGTTTCTTTAATAAGAGTCCAACATGGGTCAAAGATTGGACCTGACTCTTATTTATTGTCATCACATAAGAAGTCATGACTGGAAATTGCCTTCTCTGAAACTTGAACGGTGTTCTTGCATCTGATGGAGTCAAACTCAACCTTGGAATGACAACTTCCAACTCAACATATTTTCCGCCTAAAATTCTTGCTCCAAAGATGTGATTTCCAAGCTGAGTAACAATCAATCTTGTTCCATTGCATAGCTCCATTGAAGGATCAATTTTTTATGTTGACTTAAATTACATGAAAAAAAGTTAATAGATCTATTTTAATACTATAAAAAGAAAAGTATTTATTCAAACACTTTAAATTTTTTTATGGCCCAATTAAATCTGACCAAACCATTAAACATGTACAAAAGTATGTAAAATCCATTAAATTTCAGACCCAAATTCCTAAAATTTCGGACCCAGCTTAATCTAGGAGAATAAAACCTGCAGCCAGCCCTATTCCTACCCGGCCCATTTAAACGGACCCAGCCCAACCCGTTACATTTAACCTATCCAGACCAACCCTAACAACCCTAGTTATAAATACCCTGATATTCTGAAGATCCATCCCATTATCCAGCCCTCCTATTATCCTCCAGACCCTTCTATGCCTCAACCTCCCTCTGCGATGAGACCTATCGTCTTCAATGCGATATTCAAACTCCCCCTCTAAAACACCTCCCTTCCTTCGCTTTATCTTTCTCAGTTTTTTGTTAATGCATGTTCATTCATGTACACATGAGACAATCTTCGTGTTCGGTCCTTCTGTGGGGATTGTGAGCGTTGGTTGCAGTTCCAAGTTGTTGAACGGAATCTGACCAACCTTCGTGGCCAACCGACCGGAGTCCTTCAGTGTGTATTTCCGATGCACATCGACCGGCGTTAACGTCCGTTGGTATACTCTCGAACTATTTTTCGAATACATCTTGTAAAATATAAACTATATACTCCCCCATACCTATTTTTGTGCATCTTTGATCATGATTTATTTATTAACTACCCGATTTGAAATATTCAATTTGTTATCTTCATTAATACGGTTGTTAATTACTAATTTTTGAGTATTTTTTAAAAAATACGCAAATATTGGCTATGTAATGATTTATTTGTCTGGATCTATCATTTTCCTTTACAGATCTGTCTTGGTAGCTGAAATTATTTCTCGTATCTGTCTGGATCCATCATTTTGCTGTATTGATCTAAATTAATATGACAGTTTTTACTTATATTTATACATATTTTATTTATAATTAAATGGATCCCTGTATATAGCATGCGTATATATATCACAAACAGATCTGTTTTTTGTGAGAAATTTATGCTCATAAACCCTTTAATATTGAAGGACCCATACATCATGGTTGGAACAGTAAAGAGAATGCTAGCGGTGACACATGAAAGCTAATATCCCAAACAATGGGATAGGCAACACCATGATGTCACACATTCATCATAATAATCTAATTAGTGACTGGTAAATACTTATGTGATAGGTATTCACGTAGGTCTAATCCTTATTTCATACTTGTATTAGCACACTATTTTTAATACTTATTTAGTACTTGTTTCGACGTTTGCTTCTTAATTTTTCAAACCATATGATTAATCCTTGGTTGATCCATTTAATGCTTGGTTTTTACAAATGATCTCTCATACATATATTCTAACATCTATATACTTATTTTAATCCTTACTATTGGTGTAACACTTTTAGATCAATTTTTTCCAAACAAAATCGGGTTGTCAAACTATGCTCTCATACCTCTGTCAGTGGCCAAACAAAAGTGTCTACTTACATTTAATACTTATTTAAAATGAAATGTAATACTGATTTGAAACAACATTTGTTTTTAAAACCAAGCTGTCAGTCTTCTATAAAACCCTATGATTAAAGGTTTTTTTATTAACCAACACTCAATTTTTACAACTAATCTGTCATGGCTATATTCTAACATGTATATACCTATGTGAATCCATATTAATGGTGTAACAGTTTAGATCCAATGTTTTTTAAACAATGTGGGTTTCAAGCATGATCTTTATTTCAAATTGTGGTCTAGTACATCTTAAATACCCTATGATTAAACTTTTTTTGCTAAACCCACACTCAGTTTTTCTAACATGTATATACATGTGGTATACATTTATACCACATTGTTATGTTTGAAACCCATATTATTTTCCACCTATTTAACATGTAATGTAATAGTGATTTGAAACAACACTTATTTTTAAAACCAAGATGTCAATCTTCTTTAAAACCCTATGATTAAACTATTTTTGATAAACCAACACTCAGTTTTACAACTAATCTATCAGGGCTATATTCTAACATGTATATACCTATGTGAATCCATATCATTGGTGTCACAGTTTAGATCAATTGTTTTTTTAAACAATATGGGTTTCAAACATAATCTATATTTCAAACTATGATCTAGTACATCTTAAATACCCGGTTTGAATACTGATTCCAAAGTTGGTTTCTGTTTACAGCAATGTCTTTACTTTCATTTAATACATATTGAATATGTCATGTTATACTAATTTCAAAGCTCATTTATTATTATTTTTAAAAACAAATTGTCATACTTATTCCTATATGAAATCCTATTATTTAGATAAGTTGGACACTTGATCCTTAAAATTATTTTACCATAATGTAGATATACATGTATATATGTACATAAATACTTTATATTTTCTTAAACTAATGTTTGCAGCCATACCTAAATTCACTTAACTATTGATTGTCTGGGTCAATTAGTAGGTGATGTGGCATTGACCATAGGGTTACCCGATACCCTGCCAGCTACATCAGTGGCCTTCGGAACTGCGTGGTCGGGTAGCCCGCAGCACAACCATCATCAATTCCACCTTAGACCTCATTCATATGATAATAGAAGGTGGCAAAATATTTTCCCAGATTTTTTTGGTGTTATGAATTCAATGAAAATCCAGGTTATATATTCCATGATTAATCTTAAGTTTGCATAATTACCTTAGTCAAATACCTCTCCTGCCAGTCTCTTACGGTTGATTATTGTAGATTTGGCAAGCCTCCTCATTTTTATAATGCAAATACTATACTGTACATCATGTATATCATGTTATACTTGTTATCTCTCAGATGCATTTTTATTAGCTAAAAGCATAAAAAATGCATATTCCATATGTTATCATAATATATATATAAGCACATCCTAATCATCTTTTTATACTTACTGTTTATACTGTTTATTGCACATTACTAAAATGCATTTTTTCAAACAAAGCGTGACACAAATGAAAGTAACAGAAAGGCTGTAGCGAAAATATGCATTCATGGTGCATTTAAATGAAGCACTCATAACATCTTATTACATTGAATGTTCTGATACATTTCATGTAGCCTAAATGCGTACTTTTTAATAAAAAGACAAAACTATTTTAAATAAGTCCTTTCTAGCCAACCCATCTGCATTCCCGCAACTATGTCTTCATTGAAGAACTTTCTGTTAAGATAAACAACCTGAGCAGATCTCCCAGGTAAAAGTGGACATGCATCTAGCAAGTCTTCTTCACATTGTTTGCATATTAGGTCCACAGTATCCATGTCCTTGGTAAGTGGCTTCATGTAGTAGTAGTGACTAAAATTTGATTTACACCGAGAACAGTCTTCCAGTACAAAGCCCCCACTATGTTTACCACAACCATGACATTTGAGACTAAATGTTGTAGTATTCATCCCTTAAGTTCATGCAAATGAATCTGTATATGAAATGACATATCTCATTTTTACTAAAACATGTAGTTAAAACCGCATTCATACTTTTTGTTTCACAGCATGCAATTATTATTATAGATTTAATGTCTAGTGTTAATATCTGCTGAATAAAATATGACAAAGTAAAATAATTTGAAACTCACATTTTCTTGTTGTTTATTGTTGAGCCCTTACATTCTTTAAACTTCAATCATGGTGGGAGATACTCTGAATTGCTATCTCGTTTCTAGCTAATATATGACCAGCTACTGAGTTGTTGAATGCATTTAAGTCTATTTATAATGGGGATGTAAAACTGGGCAGTCTTTGAAGCTAGGAAATTTCATATCCAAATGAACCACTTTGGTCCTGCTCATGAACTCCAAAAGGTAAGGGTGAGTGGTAGTTTTGTACAATTGGTAGTTATCTAGCACCATGAAATTCTTCATTGCATAGACTGTCTTCCATAAGTTGCGGTCTGAACTAAACAACAGCATGGCAGCATGGATGCGAGTTCCCAACAAAAGTGGTCAATGTTAGTTTCAAAAAAAAATTGAAAAACGTATGATGAGGCCCTCGACTCCAAGCTCCTCCAGGCCTCCGTTACTGTAAGTGTTCGAAGCCTCCTTTCTTCTAGTAAACTCGCCTTAGTGTTCTTCCTTTGGCCTTATCTCATCCTTAATGCTTTTTGGCGTGTTTGCAAGCGAGTGTGGTCCTCGGGGAGCACATCCGGAGGGTGGAGTAGATGCGCCTCCAGAAAGCTGCAACTGACGAGACCATGAGGAAGCTCGTCACCCAAAACGCCACTTACGCCAGGAAGATGGCGGAGCTGGAGGAGAGCCTCCGGCAAGCTACTGAGGGGCTGAAGGCTGCCTAGAAGGAAAAGGCCGAAGTTGAGGAGGCTGT